ATCTGATATCTATTGGTTGATCAGTAAGTAAATAATGATGTGGGTGATATCACCCTAGGTGAAAATTAGTTATAATCAAAAAAAATATTTATTTATAAAATTAAATTTAATTTTATATGACTAAGATCTATAACCTTTATCTAGTCCAAGCCTTTGTATAATATATACCATTTCATTTAACAGATAACATTTGATTAATTGTTTCAGGTGCTAAGCTTATTCTTTTATTAGTAACTTGATTTCTAGCATCAGAGAAAAGCTATTCACTTGGGACAGAAGTAGCAGGAATAGACAAATATTTATGTGCAATTCTGCTTAGAATAGAAAAAGTGTTTTGATTAGAACACTACCAAAGATAAATATCAGCAGTTTCTGCTAGAATAGGTGTAACTGATTCATTTAGATAATTGTCAATTTTAATTTTATCATTTCTTTGATCTTTATCATAACTAAATATCTTTTTCATAAAGGAAGGCATGGATGAACTTGCAGATTCTTCTCTAGTATTTTTGACTGATTTATTAGCCATGACCATATCTTGCCAGATCTTAAATTCATTATGTAAGTTATTGATCATTTCATTTTGTATCTCTTCTAACCATGTCTTTATTGATTTCAATCATGGATTCAATAAAGTAGCCATTAATCTAATATCTTCTGAATTATGCCAGTAATACCAAAGAGAATTATATATGAATCTCCTAACCTTTGAGATTATCATTTCAGAAGATAGTTCTAATAGTTAGTTATATTACAAGATTTAGGCTTATACGTAGATAACTAATAAATATCTAAATTATCAGAGCTTTCTTCAAGATCCAGACCTTCATTATCAGAGGAAATTTCATCTGAAATTTGAACAAATTCGTATTTTAATAAGATTAATAATGATCATTTGTCATAATAATTTAATTTACTCTAACCTTCATCTATATTAGGTTCGTCATTATTTATAACCCTTTCAAATTTATCTATAGATGTATCTCCATTAGCAAATTCAAATTTCAATACCTCAATACTTGGATTAATGATAGAAAGGATTGCATATTGTATACCACTAAAATAAGTTGTCATTTTATCGAATGGATTAAATGCTTTTATTAACTCTTTTAATAGTTTCTATTTATAATTTTTGAATATAAGGTGATTTAATTTTTGAGAATCTTTTTTAGCACTATTATCATTCAGCAAAGGTAAAGTTCCAGAAAGCCATTCTATTGCCTGACATAGTTCTAAAAGTCTTTGCTAGGATTTGTAAGTGGAATTCTATTAGGTTTTAAAATCTTCTATGGTATGTAATATCTTGAGTTCTTCTTCGATAATATTATTATTAACATCAGTTTCTTCCATTTTTATGTCCAATGATGTATTTTCAAGTGGATCTTCATTGTTTATATTTGAATAGATACTATACTGGCTTTGCTATATTGGGTCTTTGCTTGTTCAAGACGTTCATTTTGTTTTAAAGATCAAAAAAATTTGATAAGTTTACGAATTCACTTAGTATATTAGTATATAGTTTAATAATATTCAGGGCCTAGATAACTGTGAGCTGAAGTGTATATGCAAAACAGGGAAGATGTTCTACACTATTCAACATTTGATGGCTTTTTTCATTTTTTTATTATTGTACAAAAAACTTTTTCAGTTAATCCAAATTCTTTAATCTTTTTAACCAGGTATTCTTTAATCCATTCACTGGTATGTGGATATCTCATTTTTTCTATTGCTAGAATCACATCACGAACCTCAAAATCTGGTGTCAACTAGTGAAAGTCATGCCAATATACTCATTATTGCTATGCGCTGTCTATAAGTCTGTAGTTATTAAAGCAGTTTCGCAAGTAGTAAAAATTAATTCATTTATCTCTTCTACACTTTTTTGATAAGCAATAGCGAGATATAATTTGATGCTTTTGTTACTTGGTAGTTGGAATGCTAAATCAATTTGTTGTATCATTTTCAATATCTCTTTTTGTAAACTACATTAAATGATAAGGAGTCAGTAATTACCCATTCAGCTGTAATTCGCTTTAGCTCTGTTTGTTTGGACTTGTTGTGTGGAGCTATTTTTCTAATCATGTTATTAATAAGTAGTTAGCATTTTTTACCAGAATTTGACTTCAAATCATCTAATCCCAAGATTATTCCATGTACTGATTGAAGATGGATTTTCATATTACTTGTTCTACCATCATGCTTATAGTTTGTTCCACATTCTACTTCTTTTCCTTGTTTAAATACAATTATTTTGCAGAAATCACATCTATTTTTCTCTTCAAAGTATTTCCAAATATCACTGGATCTATTTTCTTTTGGTTTAGTAATATTAACTCTAATTTTTTTCACAGCTGGTTCTTTAATAGAATCTTTGGTAGACTCTTTGATAGGTTCTTCTAAAGTTTTTCTTTTAGTTTTAGCTGAAACGTTATGAGGTTCATTATTTTCCAAAAGGTCAAAATCTGAGGTATTTTCATTATCTCTATAAACTATATTGTTATTATTACTATCCATTTCGATAATTTTATAATATGGAAGTTTGAATACTAATTATATTCAATTTAAAGCACTAAAGTGTTACGTTTATATGAGCGACTTGTTCATGTGAAGTTAAAGTTTATATTTAAAGCAATATTAGAAGTTAATAATATAAATTTGGAACTAATTAATGGTATCAAATTGGAGGTTGTTATTGTAATAAAAATAATGAACTAATTTATTATTTTAACCTATAAAGGCGTCTAAGCCTGAATTTTTTTAAAGACATGAAAGGTCATTGTTTTTATATATTTTAAAGGTTAGAATGAAATATGATTATCTATGTAATCTAAGAGTCTTTTTTTCTATTTTGATCTGAAAATTTATTTTTAACAAATGTCTTTGAAAATTCATTTTCATCCTTGTCAAGAAATTTTAAAATCTGAATTATACATAGAATTACTAAAATAGTTATATGAAATTGAAGTTTATTTTGAAAATTTGTTTTCAATTAATCGATAAAGTGAAAATACTTTTTCAATTGTAACTTTGAAAATTTATTTTTAATCGACAAATATTAAAAATTTACTTTCAATCAATAATTTTGAAAATTCATTTTTGCTCCTATTAGGAAGTTTGAATTCTAAATTAAAAAATTACTATAATAATAATATACTATACAAAAAAAATTATAACAGAAAAATTGAAAATATATTTTTAACAGGCTTGCAACAAGCTTCTCCATTACTTTTGCAAGATAATATGCACTAGCTAACTACAATCGCCATTATTATATATTGATCTAGTAGTTTTTACTAATTATTTAATGCACAAAATACACAATTGAGTTTTTTTCTCAAAGCCACTATTGATAATAAATAAATTAATTAAACAAACTTTTAGTAAAGTAATATGTAAAACTAAAAACTAGTTTTATTTTCTCTTATAATAAAATTATCATCCATCATGAGTGTTCTATACATTTTTACCAAATATTTGTTAATGTGAAAATAAGTATATCCTTGATTTATTTTCAATTGCCAATTTATTTTAATGAATTTCATGACTATGGGAGAGAATCTCATGTTTCAGAATAGAATGAAATTTAGTTGACTCTGTAAATTGAGTCTGTTAATACATTTATGCTTGTATTATATATTATATCACAAATCATTTCAATAATATTGTACTCTATAATATTGGTATAACTTTATAATATTCGTATAAAAATTCTACACAATAGATGGTTTACAAGAAGGTATGAAAATAAGTATTTATGATATGTTCAAAGGCTATTAAATATTTTATAAAAGCATTCATTTGTAATGTTTTCATGTTTTATTTACAGATAGAAACTTTTTGATAAGTTGAGCTGCTATAAAAAAACTCCATTACAGAACTTGTGATTTTGATAACATATAGTTTGTATTAGAATTATTGTGATTTTATCATGAATACTGTAGAACTATAAGTTTGTATTGAATTGGGAACATAATTAAGTATTCATATATATTTCAATCAAATAATACTGATTTTATTAAAAAAAAATAGTTATTTTTAAAGAATTATGAATTTCTCCACTAATCAGATTTTTTTTGAACCAATTGTAATACTAATATAGTAATATGCAAGAAAAATTGATAAAAAAATATAAATACAAACAAACAAAAAAAAAAGATAAAAATTTATCTTCAACTAGCCCAAACAGGCTTATAGCGACATCTCTCTATATGATAGCATAATATAATTCTTTTTTTCTAAGCTTCTATAAGATCATTAGCGTCATTGGAGACTCAAAATAGTGGCTATTTCAATTTTACAAATAAATTGGGCCTCATTTACCAGTGCTTCAAAATTTTCTTTAGACAATTTAGTTAATGCACCAGCTATAATGTTTTGAACAAGCAAAAGGTTGTATACACCTCGTGCATGATATAATTGATATATATGCTTTGCCGCCTTTTATACATATTGATAGATTCTAGTAGAGAACTTAATTTTAATAAATTCTTTGGCCTCAGGACTCCAAGATTTTTCTTCTAATCGTTCCTCTAGAAAGTAATAAAATTGGAGAAGAGAAATCTGGTCAAGACGATTTTCATGAAGCTTATCTCAAATATATACAATCTAATTATCCCAAGTTTTGCTGTATACTTCTTCAAAAACTCATAAGAGAATGTTAATTCTATTTAAATCACTGAGATATGGGGATATCTGGGCTTCTATTGGCTTAATTGTAATGTTTTGAGCAAATGCAAAGGTTACGAGTTCTCCTTTATAATTATAACACAAAATAAAGTTGTTTGTAATATATATTTCTGTTACTAATGAGTTTTTTATTTGCTTTCTGGGCTAGGTAACATTTTTAAAAAATTTAGAAACTACATTATATGAAGACTTCAACTAAGGTTAAGGTTCATTGTATTTATAACTGTGAATATTTTCTATAACAGGTTTGAGACACACTTCTTTAACCTGTTTATCTTTAATATCTTTGTTTATGTTTATTTTTTTTTTCAGTGTTAAGGTGATCTCTATGGCCAGGGGCTTTTTATTAGATAATTAACAATATTTACAATTTTGATGAGAGTACAACTAGCCGCATGTACAACTTTTGGTTGTCTATTTAAGTAGTTCGCCCGAGTTCTA